GGGGAAAGTGGAATGATAAGAGCCCACGGCTTCCTGTTTCGCTCAAGTTTACAGTGGAATTACATCGACCTCATACCCCACGCACTGTGATCCTCACCCTTCATAAATCACTTATTTTATATTGAATATGGAGTTCAACTCAATGCCTATGTGATAAAATCGTGCCTCTTGATGACGTCCCCTTCTCCATAAATTCTGCCTAGCAACAGGTGACATCGTCACCTGTTACCGGTTATTTTATGGTTTGTTCTTTCTATTTGACGTTTGTGTGTGTGTGTGTGTGTGTGTGTGTGTGTGTGTTAATGGGGTTACCGGTGACGAAGAAATGGATGTCCAGGTGGTCCAGTCCCACGGAGTTGGATGCCACGCAACGGAACACACCTGACACCAGAGCCCGGGCCACTGTGACCACGCCGACCGTCTAACAGACAACAAGAAACACACACGGGCGCAAATCATTCATTAAACGACGACATTAACATGTGTGATGATTACGGCGTGTCATTTTTCCACCTTGGTCTTCCCCTGAAGTACTTCCTGGTTGCGGGTCATACTCAGGATGTGGTTGTGTGTGGACGTGGCGGGGAGCCCCTCGTTCAAGGGGGTCCAGCCAGAAGAGGATGTCGGAGGAGCGCACCTTCAGTGAGGAAGAAGAACAGGAGGACGCTCAGCTGGGATGACGTCATTCAGCAGCTGTACATACATATATTTACTGTGTGCACATATTACGATACACGAGAAGTCTTCCTAGACATGCTTGTTGTTGTTTTTGTGTGTGTGTGTGTGTGTGTGTGTGTGTGTGTGTGTGTGCAATTCGTTTTAATGCCGTACTATACATGACGATTTTATAGTTTTTTTTTAAATACCTTACTGTACACGGTCATTAAAAAAATGCCTTAAAACAGAGTTTAAAAAAAATGACGAGACGTTTTTTTTCATTCTTTCATGCGCTTTACTAGTACACATGGACAAGAAAAAAAACACTTTACGATACATGGTCGTTTAAAAAAAAACTTACGATACATGCTTGTTAAATAAAAGCCTTACCATACGTGGTCCTTTAAAAAGTAAGATAAAATCTTACTCGACGTTTTATTCCTCTCTCTTTTAAACACCTTTCTATACATGATCATTTTTATGTTTGTTGTTTTTAAATGCCTTATGATATAAAATCAGCTCATCAGCAAGCTCTGAACAAGGTCGTTAAAGACCCCGAAACATTTGAATTCGGTATGTTACGGCAGGGAGCGATAAAAACACGCAGGAAAACCAGCCCACGAGGACCGAGTTTGATCTACCGTATTACTCTATTGATCAATCGATCGATCCATCTATCGTTCTCTCTCTGTCCATCCATCCATCTGCTATCGCTATCTATCCATCTATCAACTGCATCTCTCTAGCTCGTGCTCACTGTGTATCAATCTCATCTTCCCGTCCCTGAGGTGTGTTCCAGTCTTTTCCTCTGATTGCGCTTCCTCTTCAAGTGTACATTGTGTGCGTCCCTCCCTGTGCGTGACACGCGCGCACACACACACACACACACTCGCACGCACGCACATACACACGCATCTCCCAGTACTCTCGCTCCAAATGGAAATCAAAGTGTGAGATGTGGCAAGAAAGGTTTGTTAGTCACACAGAGAGACGAGTGGACGAGCAACAATCACTCCACAGCCACCCAGTATGTGTGTGTGTGCGTGTGTGTGTGTGTGAGAGCGCTGACTAACTACACTTAACTGTTCTCCGTCTGCAGCCCGAAATAACGCCAGACATTTGAAACAACAACAACACGGAAATACAAGCCAAGTTTAATGCAAAAAAAACAAAAAACAAACAAACAACACATCAACAACTGATACAAACAATTGCAAAAACCAAGATGCATAAACAGAGTCATACAAATCTTGTCATTTTTAGGGGAGTCATACGGAAGTTAGTCGTATAAAATTATTAAATATTAGCTTCATATATTACTCGTAGAACATCTTGATACAAAGGGGACGATCGCACCCGCGGAATGGCAGACACGCACGTATACAAAACGCTCACCACGTACACACACGCTTACACGTCAAGTGGATGACAGACAATTAGGGCCACGTGGATGGGAACAAAAGTACGAAAAAAATGAAATAAAGTGGCGCTATTACAAATACTAATTTTTAAAAATATATTTCTCATATGATATTTTAGTTATATTACATTACATTCCATACATACGCATGCCCGTACATATATGTACGGATATACATCCGTATATACCTCCGTGTATACATATATACGTATTGTGTACATACAATATATACATACATATCTTTGTATGTGTAGATATATATACGTACATAGATATGTACATATATACATACACACTGTACATACATACATATATGGACATATACAGCATATTTTATTTTCTCTTATTTCATGGTCATAAGAGAGGGGGAATTTTTTTTTTTTTTTTAAATCTGTGTGGCCCTGATTGTCCGACATGCAAATGGCTCATTGCCGTTTCCAACACACAGACAACCGGGGCTGTTAGAAAAGCAACATCATTGACACTCTCTCGGCAGACTTCCTACATGGTAGGCGTCAGTCTTTTTTTTTTTTTTTTTCCATCAGAGAACTATAAAACCTTGTGTCCACTTTTTTCTTCGCTTGGTTGGATTTCTTGCTGTAGCATGGAGGAAATAAATAAATATTGAAGCAGGGGTCTTCATATATATATATAGATGTGTGTGTGTGTGCACGTGTGTGCGTGTATAATTTTTGTCTCAGATCAGTGTTGCGCACTGTGTGTGTGTGTGTGTGTGTGTGTGTGAATAATTTTTGTCTCAGATCAGTGTTGCGCGCTGCTGGGGCTCCACTGCTCAGCAGCATTGCCAGTCCAGTCCAACGCAACAAGCCAAGGCAGGAAGACATCTTCCACGGAGGATGCGGGGATCCAAAGGAGAACACGATTTACACAAAAAAAAAAATAAAAATAAAAATGGATTTTTTTCAGCTTTTGGGGTGAACCTAAAATGCACTCGAACCTTGGCATGTGAATTTCATTTGACCCCATCTAAACTTTTGAATGTTTCAGTCCTTTTTTTTTTTTTTTGCATAAATTGCTGTTCTCTATTTCAGTGTTGGCATTCATTATAATTGCAATGAAAAAAAATGTCATTTGCAGATTTTTTTTTTTTTTTTTTTTGGTGGGGGCAACTAAGGATCAGGTAAAAAAAAAAAAGGGAAGAATTGGGGAATCAATCAAACACCTGTTTGCCATTCAAAACCTTGCCGAAAATTAAATTAAATTTGCCTGTCAAGGTTCTAGAGCATTTTAGGCTCATCCTGAAATTCCATCTTAATGCCCAATAAATAGCCATAGGTTTTTGTAAGTATTGTTTTAAGTAGTGTGTGTGTGTGTGTGTGTGTGTGTGTGTGTGTGTGCGTGTGTGCGCGCACGCATTGGTGATGGGGGACAGCAGTAGAGTTCTGCTTGTGGGAAGGTGTTGGTGTGTGTGTGGGGGGGGGGGCAGTGGGGAGGGGGGCGTCTCAAGAATAGATCAAGTCTTTCGGAAGCAGCCCTGTGCCACGTTTGAAGACGAAGGGGACAATCACGCTGCTGGGAAGCGTCTCGCGTCGGGAGAGGAAGCCAAACAACGAGAGGAAAAGCGCTCTGATTTTCGAACAGGAAGCCCAACGCGCCTCCTGCCCGGGCCTGATAAGAAGCGCTGCGATTCCCATGGTTCGGACCAGCGCCGGCGGACCCCGCTACGAGTGGGGACCCCAGCCCGAAAGAGAGCAGCTCCTGGGCCCGGCGTACCCGGCCCGGCCCGTTGAGCACGCCGGGCCTACTCTGGCTCGGCGTCAAGCTTGCAGTGCAGCCAGGCTGCGGAAGGACAAGTGAGGCCCAGTGAGGATCCAGCACAGGCAGCACATTTATTTACAAACAGTGACCTGAACGTGTGGGATCACTATTTGGCAACAGTCTTTCTGCAAATGTAGCAGTGTAAATGACTCATCAACGAGTTAGAAATGGTATGAGGAAAAATGCCGTCAATCGTCGAGAAGCGATTTCGAATGGTTTGCATGTGAAGGCTCACTATTTGGCAAGAGCCGACAGAGTGTCTGCAAAGGTATCATTATAAAGGGTTCTTGAATTTAAAGTCAATGATATGGTTAAGAACTCACTTAGAAATCCGTTTTTCACGTTTACAAGTAGAGGTTCACTATTTGGCAAGACCCGAGAGTGCTTTTACAAAAGGTACAATTATAAAGTGCTTTGTGAAAATGTCAATATTTGCAGCGCTAGATGTTTAGTGTCTTGCAAGCCTGGGCTCCCCATTTAGCAAGACCTAAGAGTTTTTTGCAAACGTACCGTTAAAAAGGGGTCGTAAAAGCAATAATTTTACAAACACATTAGCTAACCACGTGCTGTTAAGTGACTTGTAAGTGTGGGCTCACTATTTGGCAGGCTGGGTGGGTCATATCTTAGATAATGTGACAAATTACTACAATAACGAAAGCCTTTATAGGCGTGTCTGACATGTTGGGGTACCTCGACTTGAGTCTTTTTCATGAGCCATCGATTGGCCAATATTTGGTCTTCAGTTGCGAGCAATGAGGCGTCCACTTTAAGTCAGGCAAACGGAAATATGTCAACTTACAAAAGTCCACGGGCTGAACACTAGCTCACAATGAAAACAGGCCAAAGATAGGCGAACGAAACTAGCATCGGGGTTGCGGCAGTTATGACACTTGGTGCAACGGCTATTGGAGCACAAAAGGCGGAGCAACACATGCAGACAAACAACATCGCGCATATCTCATCAGGAATCACGGCGCCGCTTTGCATCAGATGAAAAATCACGGCTTACAGGTACACGCGAGAAACAATTTGAGACGCTTTTGGAAGGCGGCGAGGCGTTCACGAGCACCGGGGGTCAAAGTTTGAGTATTTCGATGATGTCACGGGCGCCCTCGCTCTCAGGTAACACTTAACCTCTGTGGCGCGCTCGCGAGCTACACAATACGTCTTTGACCCCAGACAACCACTCTGTCTGTTCTTGCCAAGTGTGTGTGTGTGTGTGTGTGTGTGTGTGTGTGTGTGTCAGATATAAGAAAAAGCATCAGAGGATGTGGTGTGCAATCACAATAATAAACAGGCCTCTCACCCTGCGTCCTGCGCAGGAAATTCATTAAATCATCGCCGTTTGATTTGGAAGGCAACAAATCGTGCCGGAGAGCACGGAACTGCCCTCTTTTCAAGTGTGTGTGTGTGTGTGTGTGTGTGTGTGTGTGTGTGTGTGTGTGTGTGTTTGAGCGTGTGTGTGTGCGCGCGCGTTTTCCTCTCTCTCTCCTTTCAAGTCTCACATGTGCTGTGTGTCTGTGAATGCACCATGCACACGCAAAACATGCACGCTTAGCATGAAATGTATAGCTGAAAAAGAAAGACATTAAAGAGAGAAAAAGGGAGGGGGAAAGTTGCACACAATGAAACACACAAGCGCGCGCGCGCACACACACAGCGTACGTGGAAATTTTGACAGTGATTTTTTTTACACACACACACACACACACACACACACACACACACACACACACACACACACACACACACACACACACACACATGAAAGGCCCTCAAAGGCATCTGTTCTGGTTACAAGAAGGAAACAGTGTCTGGACACATGCTGAAATAGACAAAACATGTCTTGTTTACACAATCACACAATGCGCGCACACACGCGCACACACCCACACAACAGCAACAGCCGAAAGGACTGACGGGTAACTTCTGTTGTACTGTGACATCACAGTATTGTATGTGCATGGAGATGTGGCGAAAGTGGAGAAACGTGCTCGAAATGTCACAGTCCAATCACACACACACACGAAGAATCTACATTCAAAAAAGTCACAGTGAGGGGCAAAAAAAAAAAATCCAACGCGCAAGTCTCACAAAGTCAGGGTGAGCGAGAGAAAAAAAAAAGTCCCCCTTTAAAATGTCAAAAAAGAAAGCAAGGGGGGAACACTTTTAAAAGTCAAAGTAAGGGGGAAATAAATCCATCTTAAAAACCAAAAGGCAAAAAAAAAAAAAAAAAAAAAAAAAGAGAGAGAGACTCCACCCTCAAATTTACAGTGATGAAAAAAATCTATTTTAGAGCTAAAAAGTCATTTTGAGAGGAACAAAAAACAAAAAATGAAATCCCCCTTAAATTTATTACAAATCTACCTAAAAGGTGAAATTAAGGGGGGAAAAAATATTTCGATTTAAAAGTCAACAGTTGGTTCAGATAAAAAAAATTCCACCTTGAAGTCACAGAATTAAAAAACAAATTTTTAGGGGGGGGGGAATTCATGGCAAACAAAAATCCATCTTAAAAGTCACGGTGACGGAAAAAAAAATCCACCTTAAAAGTGAAAAAAAAAACAAACACCTCAGCAGAAATCACTGCCTCAAAAAGAAAAAAAAAAAAAAAAAACCCCCCGCCCCCATCGGCAGCCATATTACAGAAAGACGTGTTTGCCATGAAAAATTATGCGGATTTAGATGGCATTGACATTTGCACAAACATGAAACTTGGCGCACACATCAGAAGATGGATGGATGGAAAAAAAAAGGACCCAAAAATATTTCACTTTAAAAGTCAGTTGGGTGAAAAAAAAAAATCTTAAAATCTAAAAAAGGAAAGGGAGGACAAAAATCCACCTTAAATCATCAATTGGTTTGGGATAAAAAAAAAATTAAAAATCTGAGTTGAAAGTCACTGGGGGGAAAAAAAAAACGTTTGAAAGGTCGCTATCTTGAAAGTTACAGTCAGGGCGAAATAAGATCAGCCCGAAAATTCACCAAGTCAGTCAATACGGCTAAAGTCCAAAAGTCCGCGGCTTCAGTGCGCCGATAACCATAGAACGCGTGGGCGAGCTTTCGACTGGCGCGGCGGCGGTGCCGTGACGCAAAGCGAGCTTGGCGCTGGTGCGCGGGGGCGTACTCACAGGCCTTTGGGCGGACACGGGTGCCACAGCCAGTGGACGTGCGGCGCGGGGACGCCGTGGGACGTGCAGTGCACGGACTGCCGGCTCCCCCGCGGCACGGCGGCCGCGCTCTGCGACGACACGGCTTTCTCGGCGATCTGGGGGCTCACTGGGATCACACAGAGAGATCGCAAACATGACTAAACATCAAAACAGCACATTTGGGAGACCAACATTTTCAACCTGCGTTCCATGAACCCGCCATGTTTGTTTTTGGAATGTGGGAGGAAACCGGAGTACCCGGAGAAAACCCACGCGGGCACGGGGTGAACATGCAAACTCCGCATTGAACCCTGCACCGCTGCACTGTGAGGCCGATGTGCTAACCAGTCGCACACTGTACCACCCCTGTATGAATATTTCGATATTAATTTGAGAAAAATCGGACGCACGCTCTCGAGGTATTGGATCGGGACTCTGTATCGGGATATGCCGAATGTGAAATGTCTTACCGTTGACCACGAGGATCAGCGTGAGGTTCTGGTAGAGTCCGTGCTCCTGGATGCGTACGCGCACGGTATATTTCCCAGCATCCTCCTCCGCCACGTCGCGGATGACCAGCGAATGGCCGTCGAGGTGGTAGCGGGAGCACTGCTCGGCTGCCAACATGCCGTCCTTCAACCTGCGGGACCACGTGGGACTTTTATATCGGGGTTCTTGAAGATTTTTTTTTTTTCCGGGGGTCAAAATTAATGTCTTACCAGATGACTTCGGGCGCCGGGAACGCTCGGAGTTTGGGTGAAATTCGGTAGGCCTTTTGACCCGCTTGGACCTCCATGACGGACCCTCGTCTGGGCTTCAATCGAATGAAGGGACGATCTGGGGAGACACCGTAAGCGAGAAATGTCCGGCTTGGTCATAAAACTTCCGTGACATCGCGACTTGCTTACCGTAGACGGTGACGGTAACTTTCTGCTGTTTAGTTTTGTTGCCGCTGCTGACGCGACACGTGTACAGGCCGCGGTCGGAGCGCCGCAGCTTGGGGATGGTCAGGATGTTGTAGAACAACATGTGCGTTCTGTGCTTGAGCAGACGCTTGGACGTGGAGCCGCTGTTGCTTGTCTGCAAAACAGACAAACGACGTTCGGAATGCCGGCAAGAAATGCACCAAAGGAGCACGACGAGCCCTGGACTTCAACCAAAATGGCAAGTGTCCTAAAGAACTTTTTAGTGTGTCCTGTTTCGAGAGACTTTGTGGCGAATAGTTTAACTGGCGTCGAGGTGCTACATTTTTCCCGAAAACTTTTACTCGTCCTGGAATTGACCCAAATAAGCTGTTTCAAAGCAAAATGGCTGGCTTCCTATTCAATTTTAGGCGAGGGTTCATGAAACTTTTTTGTGGGTCTTGTTCTGGTAGATGACTCCACCAGATTTCATGTCACCTAACCTCCTAACCTAAACCCCAACCTAACCTTACCCCAAACCCCAATGCTAATCCAAAATGGCTGACCTCCTGTTCAATTTCAGGCAAGGGTTCTCAAAACTTTTTTGTGGGTCTTGTTATGGTAGATGAGTCCACCAGATTTCATGTCACCTCACCTCCTAACCCAAACCAACCTTACCCCAAACCCCAACGCTAACCCAAAATGACTGACTGACTGTTCAATTTCAGATCAGGCTTTTTGAAATTTTGTTGTGCATTTTGTTATGATAGATAACCAGATTTCATGTCACTTCATCCTAACCTCCTAAACCAAACCCCAACCTTAAACCCTAACCCCAATGCTAACCCAAAATGTCTGACTTCATGTTCAATTTCAGGCAAGGGTTCTTGAAACTTTTTTGTGGGTCTTGTTACGATAGATAAGTCCACCGGATTTCATGTCACCTAACCTCCGAACCCAAACCCCAACCCCAACCTCAGCCCTAACCCCAACGCTAACACAAAATGGCCGACTTTCTGTTTAAGTTCAGCCATCGTGAGACCTTTTCATGGATCTTGTCATACTAAACATGTCCACCCAGTTTTGCGTTACCAGGTTCCAGAGTGATTTTTTTTCTCTTTCTCTAATTTACTACTTGTCCCGAAATGTTCTCCAAACTTGAAACTTTTTTGTGGGTCTTGTTACGATAGATAAGTCCACCAGATTTCATGTCACCTCACCTCCTAACCCAAACCCCAACCCCAACCTCACCCCTAACCCCAACGCTAACACAAAATGGCCGACTTTCTGTTTAAGTTCAGCCATCGTGAGACCTTTTCATGGATCTTGTCATACTAAACATGTCCACCCAGTTTTGCGTTACCAGGTTCCAGAGTGATTTTTTTTCTCTTTCTCTAATTTACTACTTGTCCCGAAATGTTCTCCAAACTATTCAGTATTGTGAATTAATGACGACGGCGTGGCTGAAATACCTTTCCAGGGTAGTCCCATGAGATGTTGACCCTGGTGTTCAGTTCTCCGGTGGCGGTGCAGTTGAGCACCAGCCTCTCCCCCTTTAAGGCCTGCACGGGACCGCTGCTGTTCAGATACACGTCCAAGATGTTACTCACTAAGACGACACACAGAAAGAAGGAGAAAGGTGACTTGTCGGAAGAAACGCAAAAGGCGTCTTGGTGCTTTATGGTGGAGTCAGCGGACCTGGCCGGTGGACGATGTAGATGCGCGACTTGTGCGCCACGCCGTCGACGAGGGTCTGGCAGAAGAAGAGGCCGATGTAGAAGAAGGTGGGAGTCCGGATGGTGAAGCCCCGCCTGGTGCTCCACACGATGTTCCTCTGGTCGGGACTCAAGCTGTGGTTGGGGAACTGCCGGGAAATAAACACATGAATAAATAAATTGCACATTAGAAAAAGAAAAAAAAAAAAAAACAGCAAAATTTGAAAGCTTTTTATTTTTTTTTTTAAACCCAGAGGAAGGAGAATCTTTCGATTTTAGATTTTCGCTTGGCAACTGAAGATCATTTTCCCCAATTGGCTCTCTTCGGTCTTCTGATTGGCCAAAATGTCATTTGCCAGTCTTGGGCATGTGTTTCTCAGCCCTTCCAATCCATTTTTGAAGTGGACACAAAATGACCTGCGGTATTTTTGGACTCCAATTTCCGGTCACGCAATAATTCCTGAGAGGAAAACCTCCATCCAGATGCTGATGAATCCTGGCGGGCTCTGGATTCTGCGTTCTTGTCATGTTGCCTAAATCCTTGCGTAACCCCTTGTTGTGTTCTTTGAGGCCACGGCAAGGAAATGTTTACCCGTCGCGGCGAAAAAAGCCTCCCACCCTCTCTCGGGGGAGCAGGTAAGAGCGAGGTGACCCTTTTCCAAAGCTTTTGTTCGCCCTCTTTGCCCCTCTTACCTAACGCGGCTGGCCAAGGTGGGTAAGAGAACGCGGGAGGGCGGCCGAGACATCCGAGGAGTCAGGATATGGGAAACGTGACTACGGGTCCATCTCCTCGCATCCTGTTACTACAGGATATGAGGATGGTTCGGACTAGGGGGTGGTGGAAGGGTGGGAGGGGAGGGGGCGCGTCACTTTCACAGCCTTAGCGCGAAGCGGGTGGGGTGGGCCTCGAGGGTATTGTTGTATTGAGCGAAGTTTAAAAAAAAAAAAAGGC